AAGTTACTCCTAGTGGCAGGAAGTTTTGAAAAACTTCCTGGATGTAGATCTCAAAAATTCAGTAGGACTGGACAGGGAGGTGATTGGAGAAAGAATCACTCTAGGAGGGAACAGAATGAATATTTCACAGTTCAGAGAGTTGATATGTTAGAACAAAGGGTACTATCTTGGTCCTTCTGCTATAATGCTTAGGGCAGCTACTTGACTGGCTCTTCCAACTAAGGAACAAAGCGTTTGAAATATTTTGATTGCAGCAGCGGCTTCCCAGCAAGCTGAAATACACTCTGCAGCCTACACAGAAGTACAAATCAGGCAGAGATAAGGCAGCAAACAACACCTACTTACTTTAAAGCCTCAGCTTTCTGAGACTCAAAAAGGAAATCAGCTTCAAAGGAATTTAACATTAGCATGCCATGAAACAATTACCAGGGGTGGTTCGTATATATTCTTTAATTAAAGTTCTTTGAAAAGGTCTGGGGGCTTATTGTGGTTCTGAATATAATTTTTATTTTCATATTACTATCCTGTCTCTCAAGTTGAAACACACAAGCAATTGTTGAAACAGTACTGGTCTGGAAAAAAATCCTGTATCAACACAAGACATTCCAGGAAAAAAAAGACCCTGATGTTAACTCCTGTTAGCTTCAGGCCCCTGGAAAATTCTGAGTTGTCGACAAACCTGGAAGGTTGGGACAATGGATAAGCTGCTGAAAACAGAGATGAGATAAATGTGGCTGATTTGTTGATAAGTATCTTGCAAGGTTCTTTAACCCTTTGACTTCTTTCTAATGCCTCAGTATAGCTGGGTGATTTTCGTTGTAAATCACTCAGTGACTTTTGGTGTTATTTTTAACTCTGCTGAACATTTTAAAGTTGGCTGTAACTCTGGGAAGGGGGCCTTAAGAGGTGTATAGCAGCATCACGAAGTAAGTCTGTATTGTAGCTAATAGTTAAAATATTTTTCTAAAAGAAACAGAAGACATTTAAGAATTTCCAGTATTGGCAAAGGGAAAAATTAGAAGTGTCCTTATCCTATTTATTATACTTGCCTTAAAATTACTACTTGTTACTCAGTTCCTCTCCTGGGATACCTGAGTAGGGAGAAAGTTGTGTTTTAAATTGTTGTATTTACTACCTCTAAAGCACAGTGAACAATCTCCTATAAAGCACAGTGAACAATCCCGTAATGCAATTTACAGCATCTTTGGAAATCCGCCATAAAACTTGAAGCACACTGTTATCTTAGGTGATTTTCCTGATGAAGCTGCTTTTAAATATCTGTGATCAAAAGTGAATTCTGGGCCGGGTGCTATGACTCATGTCTGTAATCCCAGCACTTTGGGAGGCCAAGACGGGTGGATCACCTGAGGTCAGGAGTTTAAGACCAGCCTGGCCAACATGGTGAAAACACATCTCTACTAAAAATACAAAAAATGGGCCAGGTGTGATGGTGCAGACCTGTAATCCAGCTACTAGGGAGGCTGAGGCAGAATAATCACTTGAACTGGGGAGTCAGAGGTTGCAGTGAGCCAAGATCGTGCCACTGTACTCCAGCCTGGGCAATGGAGCGAGACTCATCTCAAAAAAAAAAAAAAAAAAGTGAATTTGGGAGAGAGAATTGAAAATTAGCTCAGGGTAGCAAAAGAAAGGTAGTAACTAGGTGCTACTGTTAAAAAAAAAAGTAAGACATTATTCAAACTCTGCATAAATTCTTCCTTTGACAAAAGGAATCCCAGGAATGAAGCAGTTCTGGGGAGCATGGTGACCAAAGTAGGAGGGATCAGGAAAGGGGAAAAAAGTGAGACGGCTGGTGGCTGGGCCTTGGGCCTGCTGCTCTGAATGTGAGGTGTCAGTAGCACACTGGATTGAATGTACCTCTGTGTCTGTGTAATACAGCCTGTGAACCACTTTTTGTCCAGTGCCAAGCAGATTGAGTTCGGTAAGCCCAAAAGAAGTATATGGTGGTCTTTTGTTTTTATTTTTAAAGAAATTCTTCTGATTATAGTAAGTCATATGAAATAGAATGTTAACAAAATGGTGGTTACAAAAAAAAAAAAAAAAAAAAAGAAAGAAAAGAACTTCACACCCCTGGAAATGTTGAGAACA